TAAATGACCCTGGTGCATTTCCAGTCCCCGAGCAGCAGGCTCAGGACTAGCAAGGAAATATCTGACCACAACACGTGGCTTTCATGGGGTAGTCCTTTCACGATTAATAAAATCATGAATGGCACCACAACAGCCTCTCTTCTAAATCTCAGCTTCTAAAAAGAAAAGCAGGACCCAAAAAAAGATGCAAACACTGTTACCTGTTATGATTTTTTCAACAATCGGTCACTTTTGCCTCTCCTAATCAAAATTATGCCTACATGTTTATATTCTAATATAAAATCTCATAATCCACTTTTAAATTAATATTTCTTTTCTCATTACAGAAAAGAGAAAAATGCAGTGATTTTAAAAGACTGTTGAAAGCCACAGTAGATCCCTGGAAAAGACTGTACATCCCATGATCCCTGATGGAAGGACAGCTCCAGCCTCTCAAACACGTGGCTTTGATCAGCTCTGCATAAGTTAAGAAAGTGGTTAAGCAATGTACTCCAAAACTTTTTATTCTGATCCCACATTTTGTCAGCACCGAGGGCTGCTCAGCTCTAGATTTTTAATTTAATCTGTTTTATAAATGGCTGATTGCAAAACTGTGTGGAGTTAGGCTAAGTTCTGAACTTTCTTATGATATGGGAAAATTCAGTTTAGATCTCAAATTCTCGCTTCATCTTCTCTCAGTACAAATGGATATTCCTGACTGACAACCAACCAGCTTGGATGTGTTGTCATAAGGCACCTGATAAATTATAGACTCTGCTCCAAAATTTTGTGAATGTATTAATACTGCTGCTGCAATTGCATAAAAAGCTTATTTTGGGGAAATGGGATCCATCAGCCCCATTCTGTGTACCTAAAGCCCAAAGTTTTCCAGCAGGTAAGTGAACAAGAGTGAGGAAATGGAAAGGGTTTATGTTGAGCCAAAAAATATTACCCAACAGCATCTATAAACAAAGGCAGGAACAGAATCAAAGCCTTTCCCTTTTTCCTTCACATCCTATTCATTCACTAGGACCAGGGCTGCATATTTAATGGTTTGCCATGGAAGTAGCACATTCCTGATTGTTACCAGAATTACAAACTTGCAATGCTGCAACTGATTGAGGGAAGAGCAGAGCAGATCCCCTACAGTGTGCAGGTAGAGAGGGCACAGGAGCAGGCTGGAGGGATGGGATTTAGACACCCATACCCGGCACAGAGAATGGAACTGCCAATGTACCAACATTTAACAACCAGCATTATTTTCTTTAAAAAGTCCTTCCTCATGGATATGGCCTCCCAAATGAGGAATGCAGCAGATGAGTAGGTTGCAAAGGGGTCCGACTGTAGTGCCTTGGCCAAGTTCCAACTTCAGTAATTACACTCTGCTCTTAAATTCCCCCCGCAGCTCTATTGGAATAAAGCTCTTTTCAGCTTGTCCTGGAGCATTGTGTAGTGTTTCTGTGAAGCTGTACAACACTGAAAAATATCTCCTCCCATTAAAATTGCCCAGGGAATTTAGGTAGACAGAAAGCTATTACCAGAGTTGGAATGTGGGCAGAACACCAAGGTTAACTTACACTTGCATTGGGATCAAGGGATCTTGGCTGACTAGGAGTGTCACACCCTTATTAAAGAGCACAAGTGGGAGTAGCTCACTGTGCTGCCTGAATACAAACTCGGGAACTTGGGATCTCTGCACCTGGAAGTGACACAACACCTGGGATGTTTCCTAACAAATGACTCTGTATAAAAGCCTCTGGTGCTGTGGAGTGTCTTATCACAACCTTATTTGGTTATTTAGTAATATTTGTGAGATTATTTGTCTATTGGAAAAGTTCCAGAAACTTTAAAAATAAACTACCAACAACAAAAACCAAAGCACATTTAAAACAAGTCTACTAACAGAAAAGCAGCAATATAACCCAAATATGCTGAGGCAAGTATTTGAATTTCAGTAAGAACCCCACAGAGTATTTAAGTATTTAAGCAAGCTGAGCCAGGCCTGCAGCAGGAGTGAAAGCATTCTGTGTTATATTAAATAGACAACTGTAACAGTTTTCTTACCCTCTAAAGTAGGACTCATTTAAAATATTTAGGTAACTGACTCCCAGATTCACTCATACCAAAAAATTCATTCTTACTAAACTAGAATAATTTAGAACATTCACTGTACAAATTCCTGTAGGACAGAAAAAACCTCCAAATCCCATTTCTCATGGAGTGGCACTTGCCTCCAGCTGCCTCCTCTCCCTCCTCCTTGATGAGTAAACGACAGAGAGCAGACAAAAGACAAGCTCCTACTTTGGCTTTCTGTTATGGATTAAAGACAAGCAGCTTCCCCTTTTCCTTCTTGAGATTTTGTATGGGCTACATGTAAATGGATGTCTAAGGAGTTTCTCCCATTTCTGTTGGAAGAAATCCTACTGCTCCACTTCTGTTGTGGTTTTTCCTCCATCTTTCATCACACAGCATGCCTATCCTTCTACTGTCTAATCTCTTATCACTTATGGACTTTCTACTTCCACAGATTTATAAACTGAAGCCTTTTGGAGTTTGATGTTTGCTGCCTGGAGCAGTTCAGGAAGTTGATGGCTGCTCTCCTGCTCAGAGGGCACAGGAGCACAGCCTCATCTTCCAGCATGGAAAGCTTCTCTCCCCCTTTTCCTTTGGCACATGCTCATCCCAAGGCAGCACTAGGGATGCTGATTTGTGTGCTTGTGTCACCCTTACAAAGTTTGTTGTTTCTAAGAAATTTTCAGCCTGAACTTTGGGTAATGCCTTTAACAACACACTCCAGCAACTCCCAAGTGTCCTAATGATCTACAAAGCCTGAATTACCATTTCCATGTGTTTTGGCAGCAGTGGAAAGATGTTTCCCAGTTTGCGTCGAGTCCAATTCATCTGATTTGTCAGTCCCTGTCAGACTCTTTATAAATCCTTATTTTGGGATGGCAGAGCAGTGTATGCACTGCTCTCACACCCACCTGCAGTCAGCTCCTTCTACCTGTGTGCTCATCACCTGGGGCTGCTCCGCTTCCAATCCAGGCCCGCTGGGCTCCTTGGATTGTGTCTGCCTGAACCCTGGGCAGGACCCTGCCTGCCAGGGAGTATTTATAACTCACAATAGGTGTCAAATCAGAGATCTAGGTGTAAATAAAATGTAAATACCCTCTGCCACCAGAGAAGGACACAACCTGGATATTCCTTCACAGAAATACAACAGTAGTTACCTTTCTTAGAAAATAATTGAGATCTACAGCTAAAATTATTAAAATTGCCAGGTTAAGTCACTTTGTCATATTGATGATTCTATAATAGTTTAGTAACTCTCTTCCTATTTTATGTCATTCATTTACCTACACTACAATGATCAGCCTTTTATTTTTTTAATTTCACATCCCTCCTTCTAGTTCAAAATCCATTTAATGGTCATCTGTATCCTCATATCTTTCTTTTATTTCACATTATTCAAATGTCAAATATGAAATATTATTCAGAATCAATGTGCACTTTTCCACTGACTTTTTTTTTACTGGTGAATTCTCCCCGCTGTAAATAAGGAAGGAACAGACTTAAAAGACAAGAGTTTTTGGAAATATCTACATACCTATATATATTTATATAGATATGTAATGTTTCTGTGACACTAAAAAAGTATTATTTCTTTTAGTCCATGCTAAGCTGTAACAGCACTACAAGAGTTAATTATTTAGAACAGCAGGCTGCAAAAGGAATAATCCTGTAGGAAATGTGCATTATTTCTTTAGTGATCTCTGCTTCCATGGAAACAATTTCTCAGCATATTTCTAAATCTCGTAAAAATGGGGCACTAGGTCTGTGTAAAACAGCAAGACATTTCCAATTAAACAACCCCAATGCTTTTATCTGGGCCATTAAATACTTTGTCCAGCATCAAACACGATTATGGGATGTTAAACCACCAGCTCCTTCCCATGTACCGGCTCTGTGAGGATAAAGTCCCACCCCATCCCTGACCTCCTCAGGGGTGCACAGCATGTTCCCCTCCCTGTGCCAATGTTGGGGTGCCCAGCAGTGCCACACCACACTTTTGGGGTGCACTGTCCACCTCTGTGGTGTCTCTTCTCCCCCACACACCTGTCTCATGGCTCAGCACCGCACAGCAGAGCCAGCTTCTCCAGCAGAGCCAGAGTCGGCCTGGCTCAGGCAGCTGGAACCAACACACTTGGATCACACCTGGGGTAGGAATATGGTGGGTGAAAGGCATCTACGGGCATCTCCAGGATCAAAGGGCTTGTCCATGCAAACAAATCCCTCATCCCATGTACCCATCCTACAGCCAGGACTCTGAGAAATGTGTGTGGAAAACACCGGCCTCCATCCCAGCACCCCTGCCACTGAGCACCACTGGATCATTTCCGGAGGAGACTAACGCAGAGCGTGTGTAAGAACAACCGCAGGGAACAACTCCGCACCCAGGCACAGCGGCTGCCCTGGGATGTCCTCACTGGACACAAGTTCAGGTGCGCTGCCGAGGACAGCTTTGCTCTGAGCTCCAAACCTTTCCGGCAGGAGCTGTAACAAAGCGCCCTCTGGTGGAACCGAACGTCCTTCCCGTACTTGGTTATTGCCACCGACCCGGAATAAAGCAGGTCCAGACCTGGTGCCCGGGAGACGAGGAGCCATCACAAACACGGACACCTCCTTCGGGGTACTGCAGACTCAGTCTTTATTAGCAGACTCTTGTCTATCAGTCAGGAACAACAGAGAAGCAAGCAAAGGAAAAAAGTACTTAACATCAATGGCAACAGCGTTAACTTTTTGTTTGGTTTTGGGGCTTGTTTATTTTCCTCAACTGAATTGTTCTTGGAAAATGACTTATCTTAAAAAAATAGAACTAGAGGTGTTCCCTCCCCCTTGCACACAAGATCTGTGCCCTGTGAAGCAGCACTGCTGGAAACAGAGAGCAAAGCATGATTCAGCCAGCAAAGGCCCTTCAAGGATATTTGCCAGAAGTGACATCTTGGGGGGTTGTTTGGGGGTTTTTTGTGGTTGCTTGTTTGTTTTTAATTTGTTTCTTCTTATTTTAAACTTGAATTCCAGTTTTAACTGTATCATTTCTACTCACTACTCAACGAGTACTCATCTCCTGAGCAACACCTTGGCAGGGTGTAACACTGGGCCTACAGAAAGGAGCAGTGGATTACTCCTCACAGGTGCACTGAAACAAAGCCTGGATGGGGAAAAAAGTGCTTTATCATAAAGAATTTTCATGCCTGATATACGTTTGGTAGCAGAACTGGCATATTAGTAAAACAGATTTTTACCTCCTGGGAAGGCTGCAACTTCCAAACTCTATTAACCCCTCAGACCAACTAAATGCTGAAAAGCAGGTTAATTATTTTATTACCATGGCTCCTCCCAACAAAATCGTTACTCAGCATCACAACTGTGCTCTTTCCAATTCCCATACAATTCCATGTACAAGACTGGATCCCAATGGTACCAGCATTGCATTTTCTCCACACCACCCTGCTCACAAACTCAGAAAATTTGGAGTCTGTGCATGCCAAAGGCTCAGTCCTGCACCATGTCCTCTTCCCAAAGACAAACCACTTCAAAAGTGTGTGTCACTCAGAAGTTCCTTAAGTAACATCTCTTAAATCCAATTAATACAACTGTGTTACTTTAATTCATTGTAATCAACACAGAGAGAAGCAGCCAGCACAGTTACCACTGCTTGGGTAATCCTGATCCATCCTAAAAGGGCTGGGAATATGAGGACAATGAACAGGATCTACTTCATACTGATGTTACACAGAGGTTCAAAATTCTCCTGAGAACCAGCACGAATTAGAGCTGTCCGTGTGTACACTGATCCTGGGGGATTTCCTAGAGAACCCATGGAAAACTGAACCAAAAAGCAGGCACTGCTCAGATCCCATGACTGAGCAGGCAGGAATGCCTTCCCACTCCGAGTGTAGTTTAGCCAGGAATACAGAAATCCATGCAGTACTGGGAGTGAGGAAGTCCCAGAGATGGCAGTTTAGAGTAAGTGCAGACTGAACACGCTGGACACAGAGAGATACACCAATGGTAAATCACACACAGTGGGACCCACAGCTCTGCACCAGCACATCTGGACATAGAGAGCACAGAACATCCACCAGTACTTCTGAATCCACAGCTCTTGAATGTGGGAAGATCACCGAGTATCAAGAGCTCACATTTTCCTTTGATGGGGTTCTGCACCTTCCCTCAGTGACAGAGAGAGTCTGACATTTCATGGTAAACACTGTAACATTAACTTCCTGGGAGGGAGTTCCCTCCTTGGGATGCAACTCTGTGACTTTAAAGCTTTTCAGACTCTATATAAATGAAAAGCTGAAACATATAAAATCTTAAAATTCCATTTATGTTATGTAGAACTAGATATATACACACACATCTTTTTTCTTAAAATAAAAATTGAGCCCATTCTCTCCCCTCTAGATATAAACTCGATGTCTTGTTTCAGGTTTTCAAATACATTTTAGACCTCTGAGAAACTCTGCTCAAGATAAACCTGTGTAAATACCTGTAGACAAGTCAAGTTTCCTTAGAAAGCAAAATTTAAACCACATTTTTTCTATAAACAGTCACAGTGATACAGCTCATGAAACATTTCCAAGTTGCAATCAGGAAACTTCTCCAATCAAGATCGATCTGTTTGTGGCTGATTTATCTGAATATACACCTGTAAGAAATCATAACTCGGGAACTGATATAAACCACTGTTTTCTTATTAAACTGTACATTATAGACAAGACTGAATATAAAAGTTGGGATTTTTTTCTTTACAAACACAAATATTTTTCTGTTCGTTGCCCTCCGTTTGCCATCAATCCAGAGCTCGTGTTTCCACAGGAAACAGTGGCAATTCCAAGTGGACAAACAACAAGGATCTGGAGATCAACGTAAAACCTCCCCATAGAATGGAAGGTCAGAAAGGTTGCAACCTGTAGCAAGACAGGACTTATCATTTCCACTGGAAACAAGCATAGCCACTACTGAAAAGTCATGAAAACTTGCCAGCTTTTCCTCCCCAGTACAGAAACAAGATGGCAAAGAATGTGCCAAAAAACCTACTTCACCATCAGGATGAATGGGGGAAAATAGTAATAAAGAAGATAATAAAACAAAGAAATCAGGTGATGTATTTTGCTACAACTGAATAAAACTTCAGGCTGGATAGCAGGAGAGTTGGAGCTACAAAATTCTCATTTCAGTTAAGTTTCTCTTCTGTGAATTCATTCAAACTTACAACCTCTAAAGCATTAATTCATCCTGAGTTAGATGGGTACCTGGGAATAACATTAAGAGAAAATTCCCAAACTGAAAGACCTGAGAGAGAGACAAGCTCTCCTTGAAGATGGATGCCCAGTATTCCTGACAGGGTGTCCTTCTCCCAGAGCAGCAGAGTTGGTCTCTCAGTTAATGCTGTGGCCCTCGGGCACGGGGGTCACACCCAAAAGGAGCTTCCCAAGTACCTTTAAACCACCAAGATAAGAACACACTGGATTCTGTAACAGTCACTACTGAGATGGAAACAATTCTGAAAGAGTTGACATAATGAGGAGGAAGGAGAGAAATTAAAAAATAACATCCAAATTCCATTATTTTGGTTTGCCAAAGCCATCACAGTGGCAATTGGTGTGAACATTCCTTCTCACTTCCATCAGCATTGCTCTTTTCCTCACTCTTGTACGTGGAGAGGAATAAGTTTTCTATCTGAGTCAAGAATTCTTCAGCAATGAGGCAGTTTGTTACCTTGCCCAAAGTCTTCCTCATGCACTCCAAAAGCTGGTCAAAACAAAAGAAGATTTTGTTAAAATTGACATTTTTCCTGAAATTTTTTTTTTTATAAAAGGGATTTTTATTTGGAATTAACACTAAAAAATTATTCAAGTATGCAATACAACTTTAAAAGGAATGGTGACACAGGAACACACAAGTGATTTAAACCCAATTTTTTAAAACCAGTTACACAACAGCTGAATTCCAGAGCATTCTACCAACTCAATTTTAGATTCCCACTGTTTATAAGCAAAGTCATGTTGAGAGGAAACAAGAGAATTCAATGTGGGCAACTACTGTGTACAAGTGATTTGCCATTAAATCTTCTCCAGCTGAGACTTAACTCAGTGTTTGCACAGAACACATCCCCACCTCTCTCAAAGGAGGATCCTTATTTTCTCTGTGTAAGTGAACAAGTTATGCCACAGAAGTAATTTATTGCCACTAATTTCCATCTCTGATTTGTAAAAATGTAACTTCAGGTGATTTCTGCTGATACAAAACAGATTTGCACTTGAAAAAAACACATTTAACATTAAAAAAGAAAACTTACTTTCTGCAAACAAGTCAGGTCAGAATCCCTATGAAAAATTTTATCCATGGGGACACTGCTGTTGGGAGAAAAACAAACAGGAACGCTGGAGAAAGGAGCCACAGGCCTTGACCAAAACAATAATAAACATACAACAATTCCAAACTGGCTGTTTGTAACAGTAGTACACACACACCTGTGGCAAAATCTGTACTTTTCAATTATCCATCTTGTTTTTTCAAATACTAATTCCCACTGAGGCTCCTCCATCATCTGCTGCACTTCGAATTTGTAGGGCAGGCCTGCAATCAATGGAACATCATCATTCAGTGTTTCTGGGACACTCCACTGCTTTCCTCCTGTTTTCAGTTTTAGGTGCAATCCCTTCCCTCCCCATAACTGTTCCTGTTTGTTACTGACTGCAGAAGCCTGTGGTTCTGTTACTTGACAACATTAAGGAGGTTAAAGCAAAAGGATGACATGTTTTGGATTCCAAATTTAATTCTGGTGGGAGTAGGAACAAATCTGTTTTCCTCCCTGCCCTCACCAATTCCCCAGGCCAAAAGGAAGGACACAGAAATCTACAAATAAAAAGAGAAAGAGAAAACCGAATTGACTGTTTAGTACCATTTTTGTAGTGGTAAATCTCTCTAAGGTTTAGGTGATTATTAAGTGAATAAAAAAAGGTTTAGTGTTTATGTATGAAGGGGCTGCTGCTGACTATTGTTCTCCATTTCAGAGGAATTTTGCTCTGAAAGGAAGAAAATCTGTGGAATTTAGCAAGAGAATTATTCGCAGGTAACAATTCAGTTATCAAAAATCGGGGAGAAGGAAGTAAGTCATTTCCAAAGAGCCAGAGGAGATCCCATTTTGTAAAATCTTGATTTCAGGAGCTAAACAGAAATATGGAATCCTCTCAGACAGAAAAAGTAAGTGACTACAAAAAAGTCTTCTAAGGACAATGAAGTTTGTCAGTAATTTAACTTCTCCACAAGGATGGGATGTGTGAGAAATGAGGATAAAATCACAGGACAATCAGTGTGGTAAACAGGAATTAGTGCACAGATGTGGCCGCTGCTCCACTTCCCCCAGGGCTGTGCAGTGAGTCTCCAGGCAGATGGTCTCCCTTGCTTACTTCCACAGGAAAAAACAGGGAGAACTCTTGGCTCACATGGCCTCAGCTACTGCTGTGCCAAGAGAAGTGGAAACCTTGGAGTGGGGATGCAAAAATCAGAACTTTATAAATAGAGGGACGGAGGAGGAGAGGGAATAGGCAGCTCCAGAACCATCTTCTGTTATCAGGGGAATTTTCCTCAAATGAATGTCAGGGAAAGAGCAGAAGATCTGATCATCACTGGAAATATCATGAATTTTCTATGGTGTGTTCAACTGTTCAAGAAAGGAAAAGATCCCGTTTTCATGAAATGCCAATGACATTTTTAATCAAACCCCTTAGGTGGGGTTCCTCCCAGCACACCCTTTCAGCTTCCTGGCAAGTTTGATCCTTTGACCTTCTAAATGGCACATTAGTCAAAAATTAAGGATTTTTAGCCACTGTAGCAGCCAATTCTTTGCTATTTACTTCTGTTTCCTCGAGCAGAGAATCTGTTCAGAACGTTGCAATGCAGTAAAGCCCATGCTGTACATGTGAAATGGCTTCTCAACTGTTCATAAAAATTCTGCACATAAATAACAGTGACCCTTGTCCCAAACCTTTCACAGCTTGTGGAAAATACTCAAAAGAACAATCTTCTATCTATCTATATTTGTATATTCTTGTCATGACAGCAGGGCCAACTTTCAGGATCACTCTTTCAGTGAAATTCTCGGGTTTGTCCAGCACATGTCACTAACATAAACTACACCACTTGTACAATACCATCATCTTACCAACACAAATACATAAATACCTATTTCTCAAGTTCAAAAGCAGACCTTTCTCCCCTCAGTATCCAAAAGGAAAAGGATAAAATAGATGTACTTACGGTAGGAACCATCAGCACTGAGCTCGTCACTAATGACCAGGCAGGTGATCTGGGAATACGGCAGGGGATTATTTCGGTTGTAAGGGCTTATGATCATTCCAATGAACATGGCACCACCCCTGGAGAAATAGCTCTGAAAAAACAAAAACACACAAAAAACCCACATACAAAAATCTGACATTTTTCAGAAGAGGATGCTGAAATCTAAAACCCAGCATTTCTGTCAATTTACGGCTGAGCTGATTTTAGATTAGAGCAATGATATGTACTAACACTGTAAATACCACAGAGGCTTTGGGAGGTTTTTTTGCTCTTTGTCTGTCTTTGCTGTACCTGGTATTTGGCTTGAGTGTCAATGTCTCGTATGGAGGGGTTGGGGTCGAAGGCTGGGTGGGAATGGTACCATCCAATGACCTGAAATCCTCTGGCAGCCAGAGTTTCCGAGGCCTGTGTCTGGGACACCGGATCCATCTCGCACTGCAGGCCTGTGCTGAGGCTGTTGCAGGGCTCTGCTGCACACACCTGGTGAAGAAACCTCCAGATGGATAAATGCAACAAACCTCCATCAGTTACATAAAACCTCATGAACAGAATTTTAAGAATAATTTACCAGGTCTTTCTCCTTTACAATTGAACACAACTCTAACGTTTCAAGACTACAATAATTAACTTTGATTTCATATATTTAATTAGTTGCCCTTCAGAAATAACAGTTATATTTATTCAAATTATTCAAAATCTATTATCATATCAGTTTTAATATTTTAGAGACAATGTAAAGGACAAACACTTACTTCTACAATTTTATCAGCTTCAGAGTACCTTCCACCCAGCAGCCCTATCACTTCTGCCAGAGACACGTGAGAGTGCTGGAAGGAGATCAAACAGGTATGAAAGAAATGAGATTAAACAAGTATGCAAGTCCAAGTTGTGTAATTTCTCTTTGTTTTGCCCAGCACTCAAGTCAGTAACCTCTCAATGACATTTAGAAGGAAATCTCAAAACAACTAAAACCTCTCAAAACGCCATTGTTTCCATTTAAAGCAAACAGAAAAGATTAAATTTGCTTATTATAAACACACCAGGGATGTAGTGCAAGGGTGTAACACACCCACAGATGCAGCCTGGACAGTGCTGGACAACTGCACAATTTTGGTACAACCTGTTGCTCTTAAAAAAATCCCCACATATTGCTTTGTAAACACAAAATCAATTGCCAGACTGGTAGAAAATGAAGCCACAGATCTCAGAAGGACAGACTGTCAGAAAGTAGCTTTATGTAAATTAAAGTGTGACAGAGAGTAGTAAGTAGTAAAGCAGCAAAACTCTTATTCATTTTTCTAGAAGGTAAATGGTTGTACAGTAAGCACAATATAAAAAGTATTCATCTTTAGGGGCTTTATTTAAATCTAGGTTCTCACTTCCAGGTGAATGAAAACATTACCGTATTTCTCAGTCTTCCTGAGAAGAAGACTGCATTTAAAAAAACCCCACAACATAGACATCATAGCTTTTTGAAAGATAAAACTCAATCCTCACCAAATCCATTACTAGAAGTGCTTCAGAAGACACTTTCACCTTAAAAGGCTCCTGAAATGATAAAGACAATAATGAGTATAAGAAAAGTAACCCAAGTAATGAAGTCTCCTTGGTAATTCCCTCAGAGGTACATACCTGCTTTTCCTCTGTGAACAGACAGCAGGGTATCAGCTGAAAGGGATCAAAGGAACTATAAAATGAAAGAAAATTTCTCTAAAGATGTAGGACAGTCAGGAAACTTTTCAACTTTCCCACTGTCACCTCGGCTGAGGAGGAATAACCTTGTTTTCTTCACTGGATTTTCTCATCCCGCACTAGGATGGACTTGCACCAAATACAGAAACATCACTCCCCACACTCGTGAATTCCAACAGGAAACATGTGAAATGCATCCAGGCTATTTCAGACCATGACACACATTAATGCTTTGCACCTTTCCAGCCTGACACAAGACATTGGTTCAGTCTCTGCCAGATCTGTGTTTGAACACAATGCACATCCAGTCATACCTTTTGGTTTGTCTCGAACCTTTAGAAGATTTTGCAGGTTTCAGTTTTTCTTCCTCTCTCCTTCTTGCTAATTCTTCAGCTGAGAGATGCTAAAAGGATTTAACAAAAATTTAAATGTCTTAATGTCTGAAGTGCTGTTTCAGCAGTGATTGCAAAACCAGCCCAGAATAAATTTCTGATATCATTGTCCTCTTGATATAATTTGTGTGTTACAGAACTACTGATGGTGGAGGCAATAGCCATGAACCAGGCAGTGTGGAAGGAGTGACAATCAGAGACCAAGTCCACAAGATGCCTGAGGAGGGAATTCTCATACTAAATCAATCAAATTCAGTAAAATCACAGCCTACATCACAAACCAGGGTGTAAACCCAAGTGTGACAATCTGCCAGTACAAACCATGCTCAGAACTTATCACAACCCCTCATTAGGGATGAGTGTTTTCAACCTTTATTTCCATCCAAATATGTAATTTGTAAGAAGTGTTCAAATTATTAACCACAGTTAATCAAAAACAGGTACAGTATTATGGAAGTAACTGTTACAGGTAATTACTAAAGGTTGCAAATTAAGAAGGTTTTCTATACAAGAAAAATAGATGTTCTTCACTTTTCATATAATTTGAAATTGTAGGAATGGACAAGTATTTTCTTTCCAGTTCTCCCTTAAAATATTTAAACTTGTATGAATTTTTAAAGCACTTCATAAACCACAGAATTTCTGGGGATATTGCTAGCAGCAGAATTAATATTAGGAACTCCTTATCACCTGCATAATGAGCACAAAGAAACCATATAGGACTGAAAAAATAACATTTAAATGTTATTCTCCCACCCCTTACCGTTTGCTTTAAGGCAGTTAACTCAAAAGCAATGGATCATGAAATCTACAAGACAAGGCAAAGAGCTTTAGGGGCATAAAACCCCTGTGCAAACACCAACTTTATTTATCAGCTGCTGCATTACTTTCAAATTACTGCTTCCAAAAGAGGGTTTAAGTTGCTATGACACAACTGTTCCCTTGTCTGTTTGATGCAACGCCACCTGCCAGCAATCAGCAAGAATTAATTCCTTAAGGAACGTTAAAAACACAGAAGGGTCACCTCAAAAGTCTGTCCTTCCAAATCCTTGGCATCACACCAGTTTCCCCAGGGGTCTCGTACTCGCCGCCTTCTCGTGCGCTGTGGCAAGAAATGATCAAGAGTCACGGTTCTCACCCTGAAAATGCTGCATTTACTCCAGCTGGGCAGCCACAGGGACAGTGTCCAAAAGGTACTGCCACAGGGGTGTTACCAACACCCTGGAGTTCTGCAGACTGTCACGAAATATCATCAGTGGAGGTTTTGGATTTTAAGGCAGTAAAGCCTGATGGTGTTCTGTGGAAATGGGGCACTGTTATCCAGCTCTCAATTCTAGCTCAGACAATACACAAAACTACAAAACCGGGATGTTTACATCCAGTGGATGCTACAGCTCTTTATATTTCAATTTATTATATTTTTAGTGGGATTGATTTTGGTTTTCCTCTCATCAACTGATGTATTTTGCTGAGAAATACTTAAAAACGCTGTATTACAAGAGAATATGAAAATTAACTCTGGCAAGCCTTGGTAATTCATGTAGTCACTACGGCACTTAATTGTGTGCATAATGCTCTCAGTGAGCCATATCCTACTCTATTTAACAGTTAAAATGCGAGCAACTGAATCACACGCTGAAAACACTTCAATAGGAGAGCTGGACAGACTTTCCCCACTCGTGCCACCCCCCAGCTGCCCCCCCGGCCGCACCATGGACTGCAGGCGCTGGGCGAGCTGATAGGCTTCCACCGCGTCCTTGCCCTCCCGGGAGCGCGTCCTGTCGGCTGCCTGGGGCCGGTTGTACACGGCCTGCTCTGCAGGGGACACAAGGGAGACAGCACGGATGTCAGCAAGGATGTCAGCAAAGCACGGACAGCTCAGCACGGCTGCACACACGGGGAGGGCGGGGGGAGTGGGAGCGGCAAATGCCACCGTGAAAGAGGCAACAAAAATAACCCAGAGTAAAGAGACATCTCTTGTTGGTCATAATTCTGTTATTTTTAATTACTTTACTTCAGACAAAAGGTATTTGCAAGACATTGCTCCTCTCCCAGGTGACTGTCTTTCAGCTTTGGAACAAAATCCATCCAGAGACTCTAAAACAACACCAAGTTACAGGTGTGTGTATATACACTTTAAACATGTCACCTGATTTTAACATTTGAATCATTTAAAAACTAGCCCTGAGAATGAAAACATTAGTGTTTATTTAGGAAATAGTTATCATTCAGTGTGGGAAAAGTAACAGTAACTTGAATTTTGTCTTACAAGGAAGGAGGGCAGAATTTCAGATACAGTGGGTTATGAGGAAAAAAAAAAATCCAACGCTAGGCACACAGAAAAGCACAAAACAAAACAACCAGCCCACCAGCTCATGTATGGTTAAACATGAGATAAGGGGAAAAAAATAAAGAAAAAATAAGGTTTTGTGTAAAACCAAAAATCCATAATCCTGCAAGCAGGTTACAAACTCCTCCAGATCTTCCAAGGTTATGAGAGGCAATCTGCTCAGAAAATCCCTCCTAGCAAGGGTAACTGGGTGAGCAGTGCATCCTAACGTTAGGCATTACCCCAAACCAGGCTATTTATTGATTCCCAGAGAAACATCCCTACCACAGCCGAAGTTGATGGCTCCGATCAGCTCCAGGTACGTGTGGATCCGCCCAATGCAGTTGACGTCACCGCAGTTCTTCAGGCCAGGACGCACCGAGGTCTTGTTCAGGTACTTGGGTTTACATCTCTCCCTAAAACCAAATCCAGCCCATTGTCAGACAGCAGAACAAATCATGGGGGGAGGAAGGAATTGTGTGACTTTAACTGAGGTCCTGTTTTCACTCTCTATGCACTTATTGCTTCCTTTTAAACTGACACTTCTCTGAATGTGGAATTTTAGTCTTTAGTTCTTTCACCCACAACAAGCTGCCAGTGCACAAGACAACTGAGTAGGGTCTGAGTTAAACACAGTAACTCTTTCTACTTAAAAGCAAGCTAAGCAACAGAGCAATCACACAAACCAAAATGGCAACAGGACAAACTGTATCTTGAGCCTGCTGCCACAAATCCCTGTGGTTCCTTATACCTGCTCTTTAGAGATGGAATATAAAATATTCAAGTGTGCAAGCACTACTCCAAATTCATACTTACTTTGAGGCATTCTTTTTGCTCAACATCATTTGTTCCAGCACAGACTTCTTGCTGCCCTTCTGTAAAGGCAGTGCCCCAATGCTGCAGATCTCATCCCAGAATTAATGTCTGTTATTTATTTTGAGGAACCACTTATTAAAACCATTGTTACATATAGGATGGCAAAAGTTGGAAGAAAATAACCAAAATGCATGCAGCTTGTCCTGATTCAGGACACTAATTTTCATAATGCTTCAAAGTATTTTCATTGCTTAGCTTCCAGAACGCCAGGAAGAAAATGGGAAGATGCAAAAGCAGCATTAATAATGAATGCTGTTCACTGGCAAGCTACCATACAATAATTTTACTCTTTTCAGAAGCTATTAAAACTAAGTAGTGTTTTAACTACAACAACCCAAGACACTTTAATCACTTATTTCAGTAAAAGAAATCAATGCCTCTTACCATTGATCCAAAATATAATTCCTGATTTTCAAGTAACGCTCTGGTGTCTTGGCCTGGCGTCCTTCAAAGAACTCAGGAATAGCCTGCTTTTCCTCTTCCAGAATGACGCTCCTGTCAACCTCCACTTCTTGATCAGGGGGCTTCAGCTCCTCTGCTTCCTCCTGATGATCTTCATCCGCTTGGCAGAGAGAAGGAAAAAGCAATCCATTGTCAGCCGGGTTTCTTTGCTCCTCACTGGGCTCCTGAGCAGTCGTTTGTCCAGTACCACGAGATGTTACTGCTCCTCCTTGTTCAGCTTTCTCAATGTAACTATTGTACTGCTGGAAATCTAAACTCAAAGATTTATCCCCATTCAGGTGCTGGGAACACATTGCTGCCACAGCAGGAAATACCAAGGCATCCACTGTATCCTGCCTGGTCTGCTGAGGATCTTCTTTAGGCAAAGCAATTGCAGAACTGTGTCCAGCAGATGACAAACTGTGTTCCATTCCTTCTGGTCCTTCAACTGGACTTTTTGGAATAACAGGTAATTCAGATTTTCCAGTTTCTTGCTGGAAGGTAGGAGAGAGTAGCTCATCCATGTCATCAGTTATGTCTACTTCTTCATCATCTGAGAGCTTTTCAATTTTCACTGCATTCAGATTGGGGTCTGCACGGCCTCTCAAATTTCCAATTTCCGCCCTTATCCCATCTTCCATGGGAACACTGCTCCCACGCTGATTTTGCTCTTCTTTTTCAGAATCACCATTTTTTGCCTTAGGAAAATATCAAATATTTTGAGGAGGGAAAAACAAAGCAATCCCATCTGCCTCCCAAATAATCAGAATTATTTCATCTGAACAGCAGATATTCTCAAGTATTCCTTCCTTATCTTACCCTTTTAATATAGTTTAATCCACTGCAACTGACTTGGGCACAGCATTAAAGGTATACTTTAGACCAAGTGTGAATTAACATGGATTTCCAGTCACAAAATCCTAGAAAATAGTAATTTCTTCTTAAATGTCCCTGAAATCTCAAGTGAGGTTAAGGCTAAAAGTACAACACTCAACAAGGACAGCTGTGTAGTAGAAAACAATTTTCATGCTAATGAAAACAGTGTAAGAGGCCACTATTATACAACATTTATTTTTAGTTATACCAGCAATAAAAATAGAGGTTATTCTTGGAATTTGAAATCAGGTCTGATTGATTTTAAATCTGCAAATAAGCATATTCCACTTTTCTGAATATGGGAATAAACAGAGTATGTGCTTTGCCAGCAAGTGCCCTGAAAAGACAGATTAAAAGCAAGCAACATGTGCAAGACCACACTTGGCAAACAGCCTTTCTGCCAGCTCCAGAGATCCTCCATTTACCTTGTTCCTAAAGTACTGCCGAGCGTAGCTCTTGACTTGCAGGACAGTTCGACTCCCGATCAACTTGGCGATTTTTGTCCACCGGCGGCCGAATTTCACCTGACACAACAAAGCACATTGAAGTCACCCAAACTCTGACATTCCAGACATTCCACTTCGTGTGCCCAAAGAGTTTAAAACCTCAATTGTTCACTGAAATGCACAAACACTACAGCAAACCCATGGTAAAGAACCTCACTATTCATGTTCTACCAGGAAGAAAATGGCGCCCGACAGTAGGAACTGTAGTTATTCTGCTTAACCAGAGCACCTCCTTCACCCTGTTCAGGCACTCCGTAAATCACGCTCCCTGCTATCCCAAGGAATGCTACTGAAATGAGTCTGTGCTTGGCAAGCAAACCCTATTACATTATATTACATATAATCTCTGAAGGCCTAACAATGGTAGTTACAGGATTTCACTTTATTTGCCTTAGAGGCACACTATACTTCCCATAGCTAAGGACAGCATTGTGACTGTGCAACTCATAACGCTGAGTATTTGAGGTATTTCGTGCTCTCAAATTGTAATCAGCCTCACATGAACAAAATCTGGTAAAGAAAACCATTTTGGGTTATCATTACACTCTTGGTAATGGCAATTACTTTTAACATATTAGAAGAAAAAAAGCAGAAGCCTTAGAAGAACCGTAACATGCTTTGTCATATTAACTACTCTCTTATTTAGAATAAACTAATGAATTCAATTAAAAATATTACATCTATAAACAAACTCACCAGTCCTTGTTCAAACAGCTCTTTTTCCTCCAATGTCCACTTCAGGGAGCAGCCAGGTGGTTTTGCAGGTGACCGGACCCTGGCAAGGCAGGAAACAAAAGTTGGTGCTTTCCTAAAAACATTTAATTCTCCAATCGCAGTAACTCAAGGCACCTTCTGACAGGGGAACTACTCCCCTTCTTTGGTAAAACTCAAAGTACTGTTTTAAACATGACCATATAAACATGATAAATAAAATACTGAGAATCTGAGCTTCCCCACCACAAAGGAAGGTTCAAGGTAACTCAATATTCATCAGTGACTAACAGCACAGAAATGCAGAAAAGCAGCAAACAGAAAAGTTCAGGCAAAAAAGCCAATTAGAATTAACAATTTTTTTCATAAGGATCACTTTGCAAAAAAATAAAACAAAACCCAACCCCCCTATTTTACTATAGGCCTATTATTACACACAATGTTTCTTCCCATTGAAAGGTCTCTTACATAATTTTGCACAGCCAAACAAAAGGAACTAAGGAACTGTAACTTCTTTTTTAAAATAGTTTCTAGTAACTTAAGTCAGACACCACACTTAAAAATGCAACTCAATCATTAAAAGGTACGTACATGACTTTTCCAGTTTTCTTATGAGGGCTGCAAATAGAAGACAAAGTGAAAATAAAAATTAGTGATTGTGATGCTGCAAATAACCCTATTTTAGGAGAACTTTTCATTTCTTCTCATCTAATTTTTCCCAAGCACATCTTACCTTTTCACAGATCTTTTCTCCACTTCCTTTTGGTTGAGCCATATTTTTTCAGAAAGTGATTTATTAGATAAATAATACCTGAAATAGTTGCTAAGTAACTTTTTAAAGCATCAGAGATATTTGTACATACGAGAATTCGAATAATCATCTAAATTATACTGATTCAGAATTACTCAGTTGTAGAAACAAATACTGCAGTTCCTGTAGCAGTATTTCTTCAATTCACCTACAAGGTGTCAAGGCTTCAGTTGCCTTAACAGGAAAAGATTAGTGCAGTTCCTCTGGAAACAGGAAGTTTTCTGTTTTCCTACAGGAAAACGTGAAACCAAATCAGCAAAAGGATACTCTTCTTCCAGCAACATCTTCTCAATGACAGCCCTGTTTTCTTCACTAATGCTGCTGTCCAGCGTCCAGGGCTGCAAGCAACACAATTGTGTTTTAATATCTGAATTTCCCAGAATAAATATATAATATTTTCTAAAAGTAAGGCCAAAGCACAGGTTAAAACCTACAGAGCATGCACATGGAGGGAAGAGCACAAAGCAGCTCTATAACCTTGCTAGAAGCACTACTCATTTAAAAAATACTTACAAGACTGTTGCCAGTTCTCCAAGATGAATCGAGATAGTGATCCTGCAGCAGGCTTGATGCCGGGTTTTCATGATCTCTGAAAGAGATTCCAGTGTGCAAGACAACTGCAGTTTAATATTAAAAGTGTCACTGAGTTCTATTCTCTCCACTTAACATTTCTACACGTTTCCCCCAATATGGTTAAAACACCTTCTTGTAAAGACAAACTTGTTTTGTTGTCAAGGAAAGCTCATGCTTACACAAGGGTTAATAGTACAGGGCTGTTAGAATCATGGAATGGTTTGGGTTGGAAGGGACCTTAAAGATTATCTCATTGGTAGGGACACCTTCCACCAGACCAGGCTGCTTCCAAGCCCCATCCAACCTGGCCTTGGACACTTCCAGGGCTGGGGCAGCCACAGCTTCTCTGGGCAACCTGTGCCAGGGCCTCACCACCCTCACATGGTTCCCAATATCTAATCTAGTGCTCTTACAGAATTCATCCAGTTTATGCTTGATCTTTTCTGTAAATAACTACTCATTAGAGATCTGTCATTGATTAACATCACTGATCAACTTACTTTCATTTTCATGCAGCATAAAATCTGCTTAGTAACGCAAGTCATTACTTGTTTAAAAAATCTTTATTTCCAGAGCATTCAAATAGTTCTAGTGACTAATTAGCTCTATATCCCCTGCAGTGCTACTAATTTAAACCCTTCTACTATTCTGAAATGCTTTGTGCCAGCACTTCAAACATCTCTTTATAGGATAAAGAATAAATCTCCACGTACAGTCAGAAGCCTACACATCTCCTGCTTCTTTTGGAGCACACCAAGGACAGGGTGGGATCAACACCCCCTTTGCCCAGCAGCCTGTGTGCAGCAGCGGCAGGTGCTGCTCTAGGACAGCAAGTCTCTGCTACAAACCTCTTGTTCTCTCCCAGCACCTGCAGGTGCTCCATTTGAGGTGTTACAGTCTCTGCCTGTTCACTTCACCATCCCTTATCCGTGGATTTGCTGAAGCCCAGAAAGCCAATTGAATCCTGGGCTGCATCCAAAGGACCATGGCCAGCAGGTTGAAGGTGATTCTTCCCCTCTACTCTGCTCTTGTGACCCCACCTGGAGTGCTGCATCCAGCTCTGGGGTCCCCAATGTGAGAAGGACATGGAACTATTGGAGTAAATCCAGATAAGGCCATGAAATTGGTAAAAGGGCTGGAGCACCTCCCCTACGGAGACAGGCTGGGAAAGTTGGTGCTGTTCAGCCTGGAAAAGGTTGTGTGGAGATCTCACAGCAGCCTGATAGTACCTGAAGGGGCCTACAGGGAGGCTGGAAAGGGATTCTCCATCAGGAACTGTAGTGACAGGACAGGGAGTAATGGGTACAAAGTGAAAGGGGGGAAATTTATGTTAGATCTTGTGAAGAAATATTTTCCTGTGAGGCTGGTGAGACACCTGCACAGGTTGCCAGAAAAAAAAAGGGTTTGGATGCCCCATCCCGTGCAGTGTTCAAAGCTAGCTTGGATAAAGCCTTGAACAACCTGGTCTAACGGGAAGTGTCCCTGCCCACGGCAGGAGTGGAACTGGATGATCTTTAAGGTCCACTCCAACCCCTTTACATTCTATGATTCTGTGACTCCGTTTTCTGCACCTCCTCCCGGCGTTCCTGACCCTCTCTGCCTCCGCGAGCTCGCGAACACAGTTACACAACCCAGCACCTTCTCCAAGTGTATTTTTAAGGATTCTCCCAGCAGCCTCCGGGCGCTGCTCCGGGCTCTGGGGGATCCCATGGCAGCAGTTCCGTGTTCTCATCACACCAGCGCTCCCACAGCCCCGTTCCCTGTGCCCTGCCTGACGATGCTCCGCACTGGCGCTGCCCCCTCTCCACGGGCACTCCATGACACTCCAAGGTCTCTCCCCGGAGCGGCGGGAAGCGCCCGGCCAGGGCCGCCCCCTCAGGAGCGGCCGCCCCCAGCGACCCCCGCCCGGCGCGGTGGGACGGGCCGCGCTCCCGGAGCCCGCGGGACCCGCACTCACCCCGGCGGGGCCCCCGGGTCCCCCTCGATGTCCACCTCGGGCTCCTCCGCCGCCGCCATGACACCGGGACGGCGCTACCGCGGGAAGGGGCGGCCCGGCGGCGGCGATGGGCGGGCACGGAGCGCTGAGGAGCGGCCGGGCGGAGCCGGACATGGCGCTGCGGTAGGCGGAGCGCGGGGCGGCTGGGGCGGGTGGCGAGCTGAGGGACACGGCCGGGCTGTGAGGGGACATGGCCGGCCTGTGAGGGGACATGGCCCAGCTGAAGGACTCGGCCCAGCTGAGGGACATGGCCGGGCTGTGAGGGGACATGGCCCAGCTGAAGGACTCGGCCCAGCTGAGGGACACGGCCGGGCTGTGAGGGGCCGTGGCCGGGAGCTGACGGAGCGTGGCCGGGCTCTGAGGGTCACGGCCGGGCTGTGAGTGAAGGGGTGACGGTGAGGCAGGGGCTGAGGGCAGCGCGGGATGCGGCGGCGGGAGCCTGGAACCGAAGCCCGCCCTGGTGAGGGGCACCCCGAGTGCTGGGTGCGGGTCAGGGCCCCACACTGCGAGAAGGACGTGGAGGGGCTGGGATGAGTCCAGAGCTGGGAAAGGGTCTGGAGCATCGGGAGCAGCTAGGGGGGCTCAGCCCAGCTGCTCGGGAAAAGGAGGCTCGGGGGCACCTTTTTGCTCTCTGCAACTCCCTGACAGGAGGGTGGAGCCAAGTGGGAGTCGGACTCTGCTCCCAGGGAACAAGTGACAGGATGAGAGGAAATGGCCTTAAATTGTGCCAGGGGAGGTTTAGAATGTATGTTAGGGGAAAATTCTTCACGGAGAAGGTGGTCAGGCATTGGAAGGGGCTTCCCAGGGAGGTGGTGGAGTCCCTGTCCTTGGAGGTGTTCAAGGAATGACTGGACGTGGCATTCAGGGCTCTGGTCTGGTTGATGTGGTGATCAGTCAAAGGTTGGACTGGATGATCTTGGAGGTCTTTTCCAGCCCAAATGATTCTGTGATCCTGGAGGCTTGCACAGGTCATACCTCCCTTTGTCCTTCAAGCATGTGGTCATGCCTGTTCCTTCATCTAAAGATGACAGCACAGGGTGTTGTGCGCGTCAAGTTAAAAATGTTGTATTATCAATACCAAAAAATCACAGTTTTGTTTCCATGCGTTCTTAAATCTGTGTTTCATTTCACAAGAAATATTTTGGTGTTTGTGGTAGCTGGGCTTTGAATCATATACCAAAGGGAAGAGTTGATTATCATTACCGTCCACTCAAGAAAGTGTTTCTGTTTATATTTCTATTGTCATCTCAATACAAATATTTTGAATCAATAAAGTCTGTTGCAACCTTTTTATTTTGAACATTTCCTCTTTGTGCTGGAGTAGATTTGTAAGTGAAATTAATAAACAGCAAATGTGATGTTTTTTGTTATCTCTACTTGAAAAAGCAAAATTGAGACAAATGGTAGCATGAAAGATAGAAGGAAAAATAATTGTTAATGATTATTGTAGTCTTAGGAATACCTTGCTGAAACAATGCTTAACTAAGCTGTCCAAACAGGCTGATATTCACTAATATATGAAAAGTTATCTTCTACCTTTTCTCTTTTCATAAGTCTTGATTTATGCTACAGGCTGTCATATAGAGTGTGTTTTAGACTGAGGGTTTTTACTTGAGTTCCAAGGATGAGATTCATGAGAGAAGCAAAAGACTGATCAATGCTCAAAAGTTTACCAGTGTCTAAGATCCTTTTTCTTGTGACCACCTTTGCTAACTTAATTCTGCCAGCCCAAGCATAATTCTCAATCATACTCTGCAACAGCACTATCTAAATTACATTAAAGAGAATTCTGCCTTTAAATATGTTTTTTCTTTACATCTTCATTTTGCTATCAACATTTTCTTTCTCAAAAGTGCTACAATTTGAGCCTGATTTTCTGTTTTATTAAGTTCTGCTACTTGCAGTGGGGTCTTTCTGAGACTGCTGGCAGCCAGTAAATTTGCTTTTTCTCATCGTGACCAGGTCAGGAGGGAATCCACAGCACGGAGGTGCCCGGCCTTGCAGGCACAGTGCAGGACCATGTCCCTGCCTCTGTCCAGGGCATTGATGGAGGCCCCGTGGCTCACGAGCAGATCTGTCAACTCACTGTGTCCATACTCTGCTGCCAAATGCAGGGCTGTCTCTCTCCAGATGTTCCTGTCATCAATATTTTTATTTTCCCCTGAGGCCAGAAGAGTTCTTACGGTCTCTGTGTCTCCTGTCATGGTGGCACAGTGCAGTGGACTGCATCCATCCACGTCCTTAGCTCCAGCTCTCCCTTTGTTAGCTAACAGCACTTCCACCACGCTCAGGTGTCCTCTCAGACCTGCAGTGTGCAGGGGAGTCTTCTTTTCCTTGTCCTGTGCGCTGGAATCAGCTTTAGCCTTCAGGAGCATCTCTGCCATTGTTTTATCTCCTCTCTCAGCAGCAAAATGCAAAGGGGTTTTTGACTTGTTGTCCTGAGTGTTCACGTGGGCTTTGTGGTGCAGCAGCTGTTGGGCAACATCAGTGCTGCCTCTTTGACTTGCCATGTTCAGGGGAGTAACGAGATCTTTAGTGACAGCATTAATTTTGGCCCCAGCAGTGACTAAGAGCCCAGCTAGTGCTCCCTGACCATGGAGCGCAGCAATGTGGAGCGGGGTTTCCTCAGCTTGGTTCCTGAGGTCAGTGCCCATCCCTTTGTGCAGGAGCAGATAGATCTGTGATGGGAGCAGCCCCAGCCTGAACTGCCAAATGCAAAGCTGTGTGTGAAGCAGGAGTTCTTATTCCCAAGTTTGCTCCCTCTTCAATTAGAACTTCTGCAGTCTCTGCTTTGCCCATTTCACACGCCAGCAGCAAAGGGGTGTAGTGCATTTCATTGTGGGCATTGATATCTGTACCTCTGTCAATTAAACTGCCACAATATCAGCCAGATTCTTCTGTACAGCTCTAAAAAGAGCTGACTCCGTTGTTTCAGATGACAGGCCTTTAGAGTATTCCAGTAGTATTTTGAGGATGGATGGGTGGTCACTGTTGAAGGCTCTTTCGACTGTGTTGAAATCAACACTGGCTCCAGCTTCTAGGAGTATTTTTGCAGTGCTTTCAGACCCCTGAGAAACAGCGTAACTGAGAGCAGTCTGTCCTCTCTCATCCTTCTCATCTGGAGGGGCACCAGCCTCTAAAAGCATTTTGGCCAGACTGCTCTCACCTTTAAGAGCTGCCATGTGCAAAAAGCTGTGCCAGTTCCTGCACCTTCTCGCCTCTTCTTTCAGGAGCATCTTCAGTATGTGACTGTGGTTATTCTCTGCAGCCAAATGAAGGGGTGTCTTGCCTTCCATGTCCAAACTGTGCACAGAAGCACCACCCCAGAGAAGCACTTTGACTGCATCACCATGGCCTCTCTCAGCAGCCCTGTGCAGGGCTGTCCTCCCTTTCCCGTCCTTCACACCTGTCTTTGCACCTTTGCTGATCAAATATTCCACAATCAGTGGGTGTCCACGAGCAGCTGCAACATGCAGAAGTGTTTTCCTGGTGGAGTTTAGTGCAGTGATATCATTGAGTGTGTTCTCTAACTCTGAGAGAGAGCCTTTGGCAACTGCAGCAAAGATGTCAACAGCAGCACCATCATTTCTAGCCTTTGCTCTCCTTGGAAGTTGAGTTTCTTTTCCTTTCTTCTTAGTAACCCATTTGTGCTTTATTCTTCTAGGGCTGTCTTTATTCCCCTGGTGCTGTTCACTGCTATTTTCAAGCCAAACCCTATCTTTTTCAAGTAAATACCCAATCAGTTGTCTTCTGGCATCTCCATTGCTTTCATTTACTTCACCAACATATTTTGTTATCTTGCTGTAAAGTTTTGGGTCCACTTGATTTAAACATGGGTAAAAAGAGAGCCTGCAGGCTCGTTCACCTTGAGAAATGAGTATGTCTAAAACGCGAGAGTTCTTTTCTGTTCGTGTCCTCTAGAAACTCATGACCATCCTTTTTGCTGGGGTAACAATCCCATTGTCTATGAGCCAGTGCAGGAGCTGGTCTGGGTCCTTTATGCCTTCCACCAGTTCTTCCTTTTTAGTCCTCAGGACTTGGATTGCATATGGGTTTGTAAACAGGCTGCTTGAGTGCACCATCATGTTGCTAATCAGAGTGAATTGAGGTGTTGAGGGAAGGTAAATAGGAAATAGCAAGGCAGGCTCACATAGTTTCTTTCTTTTCAGACAACTATGAACAACTATTGTCGTTCAGAGATAAATCTTTAAAGAATGAGAAAGAAATTGAAACTCCCTCACCTTTGGGTTTCTGGTTGTTAGAAGTCTTTTGATCTCCTCTCTTCTTCCTTAGCAACGAGTGCAGTTTAATAACAAAAGTCTGTGATATGTAAAGATATTCCAATTGGAAGGCTTCTTCCAGATTTTTTACACATAATTAGGAATTAAAAAAAAAAGCTTTTGTGAATCTGATATTTGAATAGAAGATATTTGTTTGTCGGGTTTCTCTGTTCCTCTGGCCAAGCTGGTTTTTGTAGGTCCCTGAATGACCAGTCGATTAAACAGGACAAAACGAAGTTGACGACACAGTTACTGTTGCCACGATCACACCCCTGGTGTGATCTGTAATGAGAGTCCACACTGCCAGCTATGGAGGTGAAAGCCCTATAAAGGAATGAAATAAAAGCATAAAGACCAAGGCAAAAAATAAACTGTATAAGCAGCTGGTTATAAGAAGTGATCCAGCCTTTCTAATATGAGCTACAAGTGCCGTCTATGGGGTATATTTAACTTAAAGGCCAATTATCTTGTCATTCCTGCTCTAACCTGGAGTCTGTCTGGAAGTTAATTCTGTTACAGGAGGTGGATCAAGGCGTGTGATTCAGTGTGCCATACTTAAAGGATAATTAGAGCTTAGAATCTGCACATGTTGAGTCTTCCATATGGATGTAGGACCTTGGAATCTAGCTGTAATTAATTTAATTTATTGGTGTTCAAAATCCTTATGGAGATAAGGACATAAAGTAATAATTATCTACACATTTTGAAACCAATTGAGAGAGAAATTGAGATTACAGAGTTCTGAAAGAGCTAGAAGTAAAATGATTCCAAAAGCTGAAAGCATGGCATTCTTTAAGGAAATGGGAATTTCTGCCATCAGTTTCTTAGTTCAGTGCCCTTCCTGCTGGGTCCTGCTGCCTTTGCATGTATTTTCTTTAGTAGTGTGTACAGTGTGACTGATAAGATTTGTAATTTTTTCTGTTGACTTTAATTTTATAAGTGAGATCACAAAATTTATTCTATTTAAAAAAAAAAAGTTTTATTGAAGAAATAGCCAGGAAAGGCAAGACTTTTAATATATATTTTGAAAGCCAGCCAGGTATCAAGTCAGCAAATTTGACAGCCAATTTAAGAGCCCAGTAATTCCTCTGAAATGCTAAGAAGGGCACTACACCAAGAATAGCAAAACCTTTGTCATTTAGTTAATGATTGTTAACTCATAACATGGAAACCCATGGTTTATTGTAGGGAGTCAGGAGGACTGAATTCTGTTTCCAAATCTGCCAAGGACTCAGTCTGGGATCTGAAAATTATTTAGTCTTCAGATTTGACTTAATAAAGTACTGAAGATATATCTGTGCCTGGAATAAATTAGTCTTTGCTTAACATTTGGGGAAATGGGATCTACTTGTTGTCATTATTATGACAGAGATAACAATACTTATCACCTCCACAGGAAAGTTGTGAGTTCTGGCAGTGGAAAATGCTAAGTGAGTGCTGAGCAGTGTTGTTAATAGAGATGGCACAAGAGTTTTTAGAACTCCTGAAAAAATTTACAGGAAAAAATGGTGATATTCTTGAAGAGTCTATTAGTATGGCATTGATTTCCCAGTGTTCTGAATACAGACTTTTCCCTGGGAAGCAGTCCTAGTACAGATGGAAGGGTGCAGTTCTCCTCACTGGCCTTGAGGAGGAACATTTGAACAATATTTGCAGGCACCATCCCTTTGAGAGCCACTGTGGGGCTTTATTTTGGGAAAGTAATAAGCAGCAAATGACGTGTTATGAGATGCAAATCACAGTCTCCAAAATATAATTATGCATTTTTTTAAAAAAGTTCCTCATTATAATTATGTGACTTAGGAGGAAATTCTGTCTTTAACAACAATCAGAATTGGCAAGAAAATTTTGGGAGCTTATTGTATGGATTCATTTTTAGAAATTATGTTTTAAAACCCCTTATTTTTTAATTACTATTGTAACTACTTATAGAATTAAGCCTTTGTTCCAACAATGACTTCACAAAGAGGTTCAGAATTGGCTATTTGAAGGGTGCTTTTTTGTTCATATCTTTTTAACTTACTGACTTGCTTTATTTGAGATGTAAATGTTTTAGAGAAGGGAAAAATATTAAGGTTCCACACCTCTGCTCCATGTAATTAAGTGCATGAGGGCACAAATGTGTGGGATCAGCAGGAAGCTCTTCATTAAAAATCAAAATGGCAAAATTTAATATTACAAAAGATGTAAGAAAAGAAGTAAGTTGGAGAGAGTAGGATGCAAATCTTTGGCTTCTTTGTTATTTTTGGTATTTATTTGTTGTCTGAGGGGCATAAGGTGATTGTGTTTTTCTTGCTAAGTACTTCACGGACCTCTTTTATTTCTGCTGGCCTTTTTTAGCTCCTGTGTATGCAAGGACTGGGTTGCTGGGTTATTCTGAAAGGTCATTTATTAGGTTATTTTAAAAAGAAAATGACTGGCTTTGATGAATTTACAGCTTTGAAGGACAGGTGATGCTACTGATAGGAAAGGTCTTAGTTTTTGCCTCTGCTGAATGAGTGTCCATGCAGGGAACTGTTCCAATCCAGCTGTACCTGGGAGACCTGAGCCAGTTATTTCTGACGTGCAGTCTCAGTTTTGCCACTAACTTGTGTCCTTGGGCCAATCCCTTAATCCCTGTGCCCTGTTTACACAAGCATTAAAAAAGGAAATTTTTTTTCTACCTCACAGACATGTCCTAAGTGTTTATTACTGTTGGAGCAGCACTTTGAAGTTATAGAGTGCTTTGAAGTTTCTGTCCTTTGAAGTATTGTTTTCTGACTGCTCAGCGATGAACATTTATTCCTTAAATTAACGCGGGCCCGTGTTTTCTGGCTTATTTTATGTTGCCATGTCATCATCAAATATACGTTTAATTTTCTCTATTTTAATTTCTCCAAGATGAAAGCAACCCAAAGTACACCTTGAGTGTGGTTAGAGGGACTGGGAAGGGACGTGAGGCACCTGCAGAGGTCACCATTCCTCCACCGAGGCTCTCGCCGAGCTGGTTATTGGGAACGTATCTCACTGTCGAATAACCAGTCTGGAAGAGATAATAAAGCCAACAGCATTATCCAGACATGATGAGGGATGGAGAAATATCTCTGGGTAGTCAAGACATTTTCCTTAATAAACATGGCTCATGAATAAAGCTTTGTTTTGGATAACCAGGAATCTGAGTGTGGCCGAGCTGGTTGAGGTTGAACTATATTTAGGTATAGCTGGATTGAGAAATAGCAGTGCTACAAGTGCTCATGGTGATGATTAGAGTGAGCTTGACTTATTATAACATTGGAGGAGAAGCTGACTAGTCAGAATGTCTGCAAGAGGCAAAATGTGGTGCTTAGTTTTGCCTAAAGATGAAGTGCAGTAAATTAGGCAAGTCAGGAGGGGAGCTTTGGTGCTGAGTGATCGGTTTGTGTCAGTCAGATTTCTGGAGAGAGCAGGCCTGGGGCCTTCCTGGGGCCTTCCTGGGGCTGAGCAACCTCTGCCGTGGCTGGTATTTAGATGGGAGGTGTTCCCTAGGAAAGTGCCATCCCCTGAGTGGAACTGGCACCCACAGGACATGAGGATCAGGGGGCCTGAGCGGGGCTGCTGAGGAGGGGAAAGCTGAGCTGCTCAGCCTTGTGTTCTGTGTCTGACTCTGCTGCTCCTGCAGCTCGTTGGCGGGACTGAGCCCCCTGCGGGGCCTGTGCCAGGCACGGGGCTGGAAGCAGGGACCTGCCGAAGGCACAGCTTCCTGGATGTGTCTACTGCTCAGGGATGTGCAAAGTACTGACAGTGCAACAGCTGGTGTAACAACTCAGGTGTTTTATTCCATTTCCAAACCAAGTCACAGTCTTATCCCAACCCTGTATGATGTTTCCTCAAGCATAAACAGATGAAGATCCCGTTGTCCTGCATCCCTGCATTGCAAACTGTTCTTTTTTCCAAAGATTGACATGTGCTTGTATTAAGTTCCCAGCCTGGGTTAGCTGAGTGGATAACACACACCTGCAAAGTGCCCCTGATGGCAGGAGATGCCCACAGAGCAGCAGGGCTGGATCCAGCTGCAGGAATGAGGCGTAAGGAACAGAACTCACCAAAGTGAGGATTAGCATTGTTTTCCAGTTTACCATGAATATATCAGTGAACTTAAGAAGAGTGACAAAACTCCTTAGAAACTGTTTTTTTGCCATTCAAGTTTTTGAATAATTAAAGTATTTTTCCAAAGTTCTTCATGGAATTACATGCCAGGTAGTTTTGTGAGAAGCTGCATAGTGGAGGCGGAAGATAAAAAAAAAAAAAACAACCTTTCCACTTAAGCTTCACAGAGCTAAAGAAAAGCAATGTTCTTGTTTCAGAACATAATAAATAAATCAAAGTTGGTTTGAAAGAGGCAGAAAAATGTTAGTTATGATATGATGAAATACATATTTAGTTATTTAGCAATTTTCGTAATACAAAGTTAAAAAAAGAAATACTACACTTTTTGTGACTAAGTGATGAGTATTAGCTAGTTACTTGTTTCTATACGTATTTAGTCTGCAGAAATCTTTATTGTCACAAGCATAATTTAAATTTAAGAACTAATTTGGTTGTCAATCTATTGACTAAACATGGAAACTAATACTGATTTTACTAATAAGGAGTTACCATTTTCCAGTTCACTGGCTTGAAGTTGTATCAGTGTCATCATTTTTGTCTTATAATTTTAGAGCTTTAAATGTGTCCTTCCAGACCAAGGCTGACAGAAAGCAGTTTATGGCAAAACATGAGCCCTCCTATCATTAGAATAAAATGTAAATGATGTAAAAGTGTTGAGTTACCAAATGCTGAGGCAGCTT